AGTAATAAAATAAAAGTTATAATATATATAAATATATAATTAAAAAATTATTGAAAAAATAATAACAAACAGTGGAAAAATTAACATGATAGTAGAGCCTGAAACGATGTCACTCTGTTTTAAACAAAAACATAAATCCTCCGAGTTAAACTCATTTTTTTTTGTCGCATATAGAATTAAATCCAGTTAAAATCAACTAGTCAAGAATAAATATTTCTTTAACATCAAAGTGATTTGATAGCTAGAGTTTTCCCGCAAAACAAAATAAACGAAATAGAATACGACGAAAAATGGCCGTAGAAATGATATACATGCATCTCTGTATGCGCATGTACACGGGTGTCGGGCACAGTTGACGAATCAAAAGTAAATACCAGCAAATGGACTCTACATGGGGAAGGGGGAACGACGACGGTTCCCGCTTTACTACGCTTTTATCTTTTCAATTACCATCCGTGCCTCGCTGGCAATTAAATATCGTTAAACTGTGCTCCGATTGCGGCTGAGAGCGTGCAGCTCCGACCTGACTATATGTCGCCGAAGCGACTCGTTTCATTGTACGTTTACGAGCTAGCACGTGTTACGCGAATTTCATTCTCCCTCCCGCATTTATCGCCTTCACGCTTTGCTGCGCAAACAATCTTTTTATATTAGCACTGTATTTAATCAATGAGATATCAAAATTAAATCCAGAAATATTGAAATGCATTATAGTCACATTTGTTGAAAAGTTGGAGTGGCAAAAAATAAATAATATAAATTGAAAAGAAGAAATAATAAACGATGATAAAGATTCAACAACAAAAATAAAAGATGATTGATAAATATCTTGTGATAGATAATAAATGAGTATTTAAATTGTAAATTGAAAATATAATTGCTATAGTAAGTTAATATTTATGTATTTGTTAATGACGCAATTAAAGTTTAATAACCATGTGCATAGTTACTTTGGCATAAAATTAACATATCTTCAAGTTTGACGAACGAAGAAGCCAGGAGACGCATGGCAAGAGACATTAACTGGCTCTTTGACAAGGACGCCTAGCTCTTCAAGTGGTCCAATTTACTTCGTATTATATGTTCGAAGTGTAACCAAGTGCGGTGATTAACCCTCGCCTTTAGGGCCAAGTATACAGCAACTGTCTTGTTTGCAGATTATACTGACTCAAGACAGCTCGAGAAGAACCTCGCGGTTTCAAGGCAGAGAAACAACATTCAGTGGTTACCGAATTACAACTGGAAACCACCCGAGCATTATGGCCTGAGGTATTCCGGTAAACCGCAGTCAGTCACTGCGTTCATCCAATACACAAAATATTTATAAAATTCTCATTTTAATTCCTATTCTGTGGAAAAATCTTGCGTTTAAATTAAGAAAATACATAATAATATAAAATATACATAATATATACATAATAATAATATAAAAAATATAATCTCTCTTTCTCTCTCCAAGAATTAGATAAATCATAAGACTGTTCGAGAAATAATTTTTTATGAAGATCATCAAAAGAGGCGCGATATATATTTACTCATTTTCTCGCTTATAGCAAGAAATAATAATTATAAATTATGAGTAAATAAATCTTTAAGCGAGACAATCTATATGAAATAATAGATTATTGCAAATAAAATTAAACGGAGCTGGTTATTCTCCAACAGGAAAGAATCGACGGAGAAAAAAGCAGGGATAGAATTTACAAAACCAGAGAATCCGGAACAAAGGATAGCGGATCCATGGATAAAGAAAATGCAAGAGATAAGCCGACAGAAGAGAGAAAAATGGGTACCATACAAAAGAAACGAGAACGAAAAACTCGCCCTCGACATTGTCGAAGAAACTACGAGAGCGAACAAACTTACGAACGATGAATCGATCACGGTGAGAATATAAGGAAATTGCTCTTTTTATAGAGGTAACGTTACGTTAATGCACATGTACTTTTAACGCTACTATACTTTGATACAGAGTATCCAGGAAAACTACAAAGACAAATTATTCTTTGATATACTTCATAGTTCTTGTATCATGACGTTATAATATCATACATTATAAACTTTCATAATGTGTTATTATTAATAATTTTTATATATTTTATATACCAATGTTTTTTGGAGAGGAAAAACGCAGAATATGATGAAAATGTAAAGAAAACAGAATTATATATAAATTCAAATTATTAGAATATCTCTAAAGATAATTAAAAAAAAATAAAGTTACTAATCAATTAATAAAATAATTAGTGTTAATCAATATATTTTCAGAGTCTATTTGTAATATATATTCGTAAATCTGTTTTATGTAAAACTAGCTTTGCAAAACTCTTCTCATAACTTAAACATCATTTTGAAAATTTTTTATACAGTTATAAAATCATAAAAGCAGTGCTCTTTACAAACTTTATAAAAAGATAAAAAACATAAGAGTGAGACATATAAGTCTTAAACTCATAAAAAAATTGTTATATATATAATTATTCTTATTACAGCAACTTGATCCTACTATTCTGATGACACTCGCACAACCTTCAATCGATCAAGACAGTGCAAGCGCGAAAGATCTCCACGATTCTTCCTTGTTACAATCTGCGGATGCAAATGTCGATGGATCAAATAGAAAACTCGATCTATGGAATGTGAGCGTAGAAAATCCGTCTGCAGAAATTATTCAAGAGGCACACGTTGTGTCTCATCAACGATATAAGGACTACGAAATATCTGATATAAAGGAAGAGCCATTCGACGCAGAGAACACAACTGTGGCGGATTATGCAAGAAGCGAACTTGAGGAGGATCGCTCGCTCACCTCCAAAATAGATTCGCATTCTAAAGAATCGATCTCGCAAGAATCGAAAATTCAACCTAGTTCTGATAATACGCGTAGAAATATCAAGAAATATTCAAATAGCGGTGAGAATTTAAATTATAAGAGTAATTCTGAAGAATCTCCTGTGAGGGAATATCCCAGACAACCCAATCTCTCTCAAAATGATAAAGAGAAAAACAGCAAGGACAGTAAGAGGCATGACGAGAAGATCGTAACGACGAAACTATTGACGCGAAAGAGCAATGAGGAGGGGGACGATGCGAAGGAGAAGGACACGACAGGGCGACCGCTGAATCATGGAGGATCGTTTCAGCCTGGTAGATGGGGTATGAGCATTTTGTCGCCGCCTATGGAATTTCTAGAGAATATATTCCGACTACCGATGCACCGGAAAAATAAGGAGCATACCGAAGGCAAGAAAGACGAAAAGCACGATTTGGTTGGTCAATGGGGCATGAGTGTCACCTCACTTCCGAAGGAATTCCTCGAGGATATCTTGATGCATCAAACACACGGAGCTAAACACTTGACCGTGAAACCGGGATCAAGGCCGAGCCAAGTCAAAGGATCTTCCCAATCATTAACTCACCCAAGCTATGAGAATTCGCAAGCAGACTCGACGCAGCGATTAATAATTGACGAGCATAATAAGGAACTAGCTGAGACTTCATACGGAAAAGTTTCAAACGATTTTGACCCTTCTCGATATCCAAAACTCAATTATTGGAACAATTATAGAACAAATATTGATCTTAACAATCGCCTGTTTCTAAGAAATCTAAAATTTCTAACGCAAGCTTTGCAATCGTATATTGAACAGAATGATGTAGATATACCAATATCTTGTTGTATACAAGTTCCATACGTCCCATTCCGTATCTAAAAAAAGCTTTTCATTAAATTGCTTTTACTTTATCTTATTTTTGTTATATTCGAATTGAGTAACTATATGAAAATTTATCGCCAAATAATAATCGTCTAAAGATTTTAAATAAGATGCTTTAAATCAGATATATTCCTTCATATAATTGATTAATGATATCGCAAATAATAGTAATTATTTAATTTTTAATGAAAATTAAATAATTTTAAATGTCATTCGATTAAATCCCATTTCTACAAAATAATAATTTTTTTTCATATGCTTTTATGTCAAGTATTTGGCCAAAACACAGATAATTAAAAAATATTATCAAATGCAATAACTTTATTATTCAACATGCTTTTCTGGTATATCTGGACATCATTAAATAATTTCTTTCTTATTAGTTATATTAAAAATACACACGACGCGAAATCGTAAAATGCATTTTAATGATCGTACTTATGTCGTATAACAAAATTGTAATTTCCATCATGAAAGTCAAATAAACAGTTGATTTATTACTAACAATATGATAACATTATGCACCCAATAAACACAAAGCACAAAAACAACTTTGGATAAGGTCCTTTTGATAGAGTAATACGAAAATATTCTCAATTTCTTATTGATATAAAATAATAGAAAAACTATATAATATTCTAGTAAAATTATATCAGTCAAATAAAATTACGACATTTTACATCTAGTTAAATTTCTTGACGAAATAGTGAAAAGTCCAATAATGAGAATTCCTAAATATTGTATATACAGCAATAAACCAATATACAGTTGGATACAATAAACAATTGTTTTGTTCGCTCTATTAACGCAACATGTTGACATTTCGTGATATTGTTATCTCGTGGTACCTAATTAAGCATTTTGCATGTAACCTGTAATTGTACCTTATGTACCCATATTAATTGTACAAATCGGTATGTTTGTCTGATAACATCTATCGTCTACTCTTCCTTTTGCGGTCGCAGAAATTTTTTCGTCGCACAACCCGTTGCAACGAGGCAATATAAAAGTTGTTGAGGAAAAACACGCAGGAAATAAAACGACGTTTTACTAGAGTAAGCCTGAGAAAAGCAACGTTCTTGGAAAAGAAATCCTTAGACATGGCAATAAATTCTTTCGCAACATTAAAAACACGCGTCAGACTGCGCCCTTAAGTTTTTCATCAAGTATGACCGCACAAATATTTGTACAAATCCTATATAACTCTACAAAATAATATTTCCTTTTATTTCTTAATATTTAATACACATCGTTTTGCATATATTTCTTTACAAAAGCGAATATTTGTACAAATATATATGATGGTTGATGCATGATTTTATTTCTATTGATTTTCATTCGCACTTGTATTGTTAAGAAACTGTCGCTATAAAATTTCTCAATCCCACAAATAATTTCCAAAGACTTTTACAATAAAAAGCAAACTAAAAATCTCAAAAGTCAAATCAAGTTAAAAACAATCATTCTTTCGAGGTAAAAAAATATATTCACTTGACGGAGAAGAAAGAGTATGACGTTGAAGATCATAGCGAGAATAAATTCAGATATTGAATTAACAGTTACAATCTTCATACATTGTATGAAATGTTAGCCCGTGATTCATCTTTTATTCAAAGGCACAAATCTGCTGCTGCGAATGAGCAAACGTGACGGCAGAGCTTTTACATGAACTAACAAAAGAGATCGGCTACACAACGATAGTTGTAGCATTAGGTTCTGACACGGAAAATTATCAACTATATATTTCAGTGCAAAAATCAATATCTCAAAATGTCCAAATTAAGATAATACAAGATAGTGATTAATGCAAGTATATGATATATAATATAATTCCTATTATTTAATTTTTTAAATTAAAAGTAAAATTAAAATTTACAAAAGCCGATTCTATCGTCAAGTTAGTTAAAAATTAATATTATTATAATTAATAATTTGTGTCAATATTAATGCACGTGTATCTTGTCTAAATATCAAGTTTTGTCTAATAAAAAAAGAAGTTTGAATAAAATAATGATAATCTAAAAGTCGGCCTAACTATGTTAAAGAACTGATCTCCTGCAGAGTCATTATCTCGACACGTAAATTGCTTAATTGTTCATGCAGGCTAAAGAGAATAACGTTTAAGAGAATAATGCAGAGACTATAAAGGAAAAACCGTAGAAGAGAAACAGACAAGACGACAAGAACGAAAGGGCAATCGACGATTCTGGGAAACTCTCGGTCTCCTCGCAAAAAGTTTTTGCTATCGCCTGAACGCTCCTCGATTAAAATTACACTGAAGCCCTTTTTATTACGATTCGGTCGTAACGGATGTTTGTGAATCTTCGTTGATTGATGTAGCGCAAGAAAGGGAATATATATAATTAAATCAAAACTAGATAAGAGAGTTATATCGTTTAACGTCGAGAAATTGTAATCACGAAACAACACGTGAAAAAAGGTATTATTTTTCAAATTCGAGAGAGAAAATTTTAAAACTTGATGGGTTCCTATTCAAGCATTAAACTGAAAGCTAACACGATCAAAATTATAGTAAAATTTTCGATAAATTGACGAATCTCAATATGAAAGGACATACGGCTCCCCGAGTTTGTTATTAAAACTTTTTAATTAAAATAAATCGCGCGCGTATATATCAAAAATCGCAATTTTCTATTGCATTGAGAAAAAGCGCACAAAATTTATCATGTACTGAAAATATTCGTGCACAACTAATAAAGATTCTAAATCGTATGCCGTCGCGAGTAGGTGAGAAAACCCGCAGCTATCTTTGATGCAAAAAATTCGCGAGAAAGAAATTCGTCAGGCAAATAGAAAAGATTGGAAGAAAACGGAGCAGATTATTCGAGGCGGATTCTTGCCACAGAGCGCGCAGAAAGAATGAAATGGAGCGTCGGTGGAAAGTATCATCGCTTTATGCCACGCCACAGAGAATAAATAAATCTTCTCTCACCGTTAAAGTTCGATCGTAAAGAGGGGATTGCGATACCGCATTTTGCCATCGCGTAACAGCTTCTCCTAAAATATGTTTTCGATATCGAAATGTCGGTGATTCGCATTTTATGTTGCCCCCTGCCAATTGCGTCTAAACCAACTTCGATTAACTTACGAATTCAAGCACGCGCAACAAAAATATTCGCGAAGTAATATCAGATGTATAAACGCGAACTATACTTGCTATGTAAATGTGTAATAAAAACATAATAAAATACATAATAAAATACATAATAAAATACTAAATGACAGATAATAAATGTGGCATACACAAAATGTTGTTACAACGATGCTTAAAAAAATTAGCAACTGCAGTTTTTTGTGGTAACTATTATATATTGGCTAGTAATACAATTTAAATGACAGGAGAGAGAAAACGTTGTATTTTAAATTCCAATTATAAAAGATATCTTCAATAAATGTATATCTGAAATACATTTCAAGAGCTTCAAAAACACCAGAAGACCTATACATATATAAGGAGAGATCGCGATTATGTAAAGTCGTTCTACAAGTATTCTATTTACAGTCCAGAGAAGTACCAGAAAGCGTTCCATCGCGAAATAGAACGATCTCTTCTCAACAGATCGACCAAGTATTGTACAAGTACGAAAAATTCATCGGAGAATAAATCTGACCTATCATATCTCACTATTATATTCACTCCTATACTTTAAATCAGAAAACGATATATCATATGTTCCCAACAACACGGCTTATAAGTAGCCCTCTACGTAAAATACAGAATAAAAATGCTCAATAAAAATAAATAAAAAAGATAAAAATGAATTTTTAACAAAACACGATTTCTCTGTTGGATAACATCTCAAAATAGATGTTCTCAAAATAGATAATATTCAACGTCATGTAAGTACACGGGTCTATTTACGTGTTCACGTTATACATACATACATTAAACTGCACGTGCTATATACATACACGTCGTAATCATAAACGATATAATGTCGATGTAAACACAACCAAAATAATCGTTTTACATGCTCGTCTTGTATAATTGGAAATGCAATTACGTCTGTTTTTTTTTTTTTTTTTTTTTTTTTAAGGGTATGCTTGTTAACTGGACCCATATACGCAGGTAAATTATGAAGACTTGCACGCGACATTAACCACTCGCTTTTGCGTTTTAACGCGATAATTGCACCGCAAACGATCATTTCTCATTCGCCCGCGGCGCAGCAAACCGCTTCAGAAAAACAAACATCGTATTCGCTAACAACATTCCGTTATTCTCGCCGTATTATGGTCTATAATAGAGGCAGGGCGCAAATTTCATTGCGGTTGAATTGTTGACTGACAGAGTAATGTTGTATTAGTCAATCAGAACTCAACATCAGTGAGCTATGTATCATAATGTAGCGTACACACTATTAATAATGTCATTATAATAAAAATGATCAGATTAATCAAATAATAAAAAATAGTTCTTTTTAATTTGTTATAGACAGAATAAAGTCTCAATGCACAAACGGCAGAAAAATTAACTATACAATAATATTCAACATTAAATGTGAATTGTGTAAATATGAATTGTAATTTTGATGACAAATACAATGCAGAAAAAAAGAGCGGAAAAAGAAAGTTAAATTCACAACTAAATCTTTGAAAAAGACCCATCTACATTTCTGCATGCTTACACCTGTATCTACATCCTGCGTCTATTGTTGTAGACCAGCCATTATCGGGATGCTTTGTACGTTTGTCCGTGCGAGCACCTGCGGCGATAATAATCATATCTTGCGTGTGCATCTGATAATGCTTCGGTCTGTAATTACATCAGGCAAACGATCGATTCCTATAACGCACCCATAATATCGCATCATTACGTCATTATAGTAACAATCAAAGTGCAACATATTATATTGATGGTTAGGCTCCATCCTAAATATTACATTATAATGATAAAACTACATCACTAAATGTTACATCATAATGATTAAAAGGTGCTGACAGAAAATAATTTCTCTGTATACATGTAATTTCTATAAGCCAGGAGAAACATATGATATTTGATATAAATATTATGAAACAAGATAAATATTTTTGTCAATAATTTCTTCCGCACATCAATGTGATACATTTTTGTCATTCTATTTTTGTTTTATATCAAATAATTGTGAATTGTTAGTTATATTATTAAATTTAATAATTTAATAAATTTCAATTATTTTAACAAATTTAATATACGTTTGAGAGAGAAATAATGTCGAATGTGATATGTTTGTTTGGCAGAAGAAAACATCTGTTTCCAAATGATATCTTTCCATAGTTTTAATCAAGAATTTCTCTCTAAACTTTTTAATCTTTAATTAAACAGATCATAGTCTTCTTATTATCGGAGCCAGATGCGAAACTTTGTCTGTGATATCGAACTAAACAATCGTGAATAGCGGAGATACGAGAACCGAGGTAATATTCCGGCGTCCATATTACGAGGTAAGTTAAGCTCGTCGTCTCCCTTCGCTCGGACTAACCCGTATGAAACAATTGGCTCGCATCTTAATTACGCGACCATAATTTAGCAGTCGGCGCGTCCTCGAGCAGGCATTCGACCTACGCGAAATGTATGCGAGTCTGCGGATTACAGTTCGTCCTGCGAGCGGCGATTACGGCAAACAATGCCGGCGATATCGAGTGCTACGACAACTACCTGTTCGCGCACCGCTCTTGCTTCTCTCTAATATAAGCGGAAACAGAGAACTGTGCGCTTTGCCTTCAAACGCGGAAATAATTTCCGAGTCAACGTGCGTCGTTCACGAAC